AAGGGCTTAATAGTGATTTTGGGATTAGTTTAGGGGTTTAACTTATGATTTTGCCAAAAATCTATCCAATCTGTACTTTTGACAGAATTATTGAGCTGTTAATCCAATGGTTACTTCAATAGTTAAAAATTTGATATTTCAAATTGGAGATCTCAAATTTAAACTTCAAGTTGAATGGGAAAAAATTTAAGAAAAGGATTTAGGAAAGAGAAAGATTATCTCATCGTGTGTACCCTATTCAAATGTACTAAAAAAAAGAATTACTGTATTGTTACCGCCCGTACTGGTATGGGAGGCCGGTTACCATGGCAGCAATGGCAAATTGCCCACCCCGGCGGGGGACTGGTTTTGGTTTTTAATTCTTGAAGGCGTTGATGTGGGCTCCTCTGGGCTTTTGAAACCTCTCTTACGAAAACTCACCTTAGCCTTTTGGGCCAGCATTAAAGCCCCTCGTTTTCAGTTTTTCAGCCCGGCTGAACACAACATAATGCACGGGGCCCAGCAAATACTGTACTTTTCTCCTTTTTTTTTTTTTAATGTTAATACACTGTACTTCCCAAATGGGGGTGGTCTGATAGAATATTCTTATGTTACCCAATCCAAAAGTAATAGCCAAACTCTACATTAAACTCGAAGTTACCTCATTTTTTTAATTAAATTTTTAGACTTTTATTCAAACAAAGGTTTTTATTGTGTTATTATTGTTATTATTGTTGTTGTGTCGGTCCAACACTAAGTCACTTAGTCACTATCCACTTAAAAAAATGTACTTGAATATGAAATCCTCAATTCTATACACAAGTACTAATTACTCCCATCTCCAAAAATTTATTAAGTTCAAAAAGGGTTTTTGTCGAGTTAAATACTGAAGCGTTGCGTTATTGTTAGTGCATTTTTTACCTCAACATTTTGCTTTGGGAAAAGAAAAAAAAAGATATTATGACATTAAAAATATCAAAATGTCTAATAATAATTTCATAATAAATTTAATAAAATTAGACATCATATTATACTCTATATATTTAATAATTATAATTAAATGTCACAATAGTTTTAATATCAAGACATTCTAATTTTTTCTTCTCTCTTTTATTTTTCCCTCAACCCAAAATCTAAAAACCTACCACTTTCTAACATTGTATTTATTTTTTCAATTCATCAATGAGAAAAGTAAAAATTAAAATAATCTAATATTTATATTTTGAATGTTTGGACTTCTTGTGAAATTGTTTGTATACTCTTAATAATTTTTTTATATATTAATTTATTAAAAGCATTTTAATTTCTTTATTATTATTTCTAACTTTTTTTTTTTTTTTGAACATAGGTAATTCTGGGTAGAGAGAAAGGGAAGGGGTGGGGATTGAACCCCACACCCTTAGGTGAGAAACCCTCTAACGATATTGAGGTGACCATTTGGGCCAACGTGGGTTTCTCTATTTCTAACATTTTAAGTGTTAGAATGTCATAATTTTTTTCAATCCTTTTATTAATTGACTTTTTTTTGTAAGAAAATGAGAGTACAATATATGTGGGAAAATGAAAATCTAGATGCCATGTATAATTATTCAAATATTATTAATAAATTTTTTTGACATATTAATTTATTAAAGATATTTAATACGTTTTATTATTAGGCAGAATTCCCTAGACATCTTTAAATGCGGTTTCATGTTTGGTGGCGGAAAATGACTATGGTGTTGTTTCAAAAGAAATTGTAAATAAAAATAAAAACAGAGATCACGTATTTTATTATATGATTGAAAATATTTATTCTCTACAATAAATATTGATAAACGAAAGAACAAAGCAGCTACCACAATTTCACCATTTTTGGGGTGTAAATTGATCAAGGAAAGAGTTTGCACTTTGCACTTCACAATTTTGCATCTTATATTGTGCTGGACTGAAAAACTAAACCGGTGGATGGGGTGATTGCCGTCACATTTAGGGGCTCTCCATCCAATTGCTTATGCCTTAAACTCGTAGTTGAGTTGGTAAAGATTTTATGGTTGTTGTGTCAAAAACTTAAAACATAAACTTAAGAATTGAATCAACTGATTAATCATCATTGTCTTATAAATCATATTGAGAATTCAAGTCTTAAACCTAATGTACTAATCTAATGTGTGAAAGTACACCTATAAAATCATTCAAGAAAAAATTAACTTTGAAATATGTAAAATCTAGTCTAAAAACATTCTAATCATAAATACCCAAAAGAGGACCTAAAACATGAATCTAATAAGGATTTTAGCAAGGGAGGCTGGGCGGGTAAGGAAAGAGAATGTTGCGTGCAGGCCCTGTTGGAGGAGTATTACAGCAGGCTGAAAACTTTCGTGACAATCTCTTATGACCAATAAGAAAGGCTAAAATGTCATTTTACTTTTTCTACTTTAATAAAAAGATTTTTTTAA